TAAAAAAAAAAAAAAAAAAAAAAAAAAGCAGTCCACGGGGGAGACACTATTATCCTCACTTATCAGATGGAGAAACTGAGGCTAAGTGAATATCCCAAAATACGCATCCAATTAGTGCTCAGGCCAAGATTCATGTCCAGGTCTCTCTGACTCCAGTGCCTGCCGGCTTATGAAACATCTCCATTGTGCCAGCCCCTGGATAATCAGTGGAGAACTAAGCAGACACTATCCATGACCTCACGCAGCTTGCAGTGTGGAGGGAGATACCAAAGTTAAAGTTGTAGTCTATTAAGCTACTTTCTTTTTTTTTTTTTTAAAGATGACCAGCAAGGGGATCTTCACCCTTGACTTGGTGTTGTCAGCACCACGCTCTCCGAAGTGAGCCAACCNAGTGAGCCACGAGCCAGCCCTATTAAGCTACTTTCTAATTACAAATTGTAATGGAATGCACAGGACTGGGGTGGTGTGAGAAGGACAAGGATTTGCTGAGACATGGACTCCCATCAGGGACTACTCAACATTTTAGAGTTTGGGGCATTCAAATTCAATTGTGAAATTGTGCTGTGAACCGAAGAAACAAAGGGTACTGTGCAGTAAAGGATTCAACTTGCCCAAAGAAAGGTTTAACCCTTTGCACACAGTTCCTGGCAGGGAATCTCTAACTTAAGCCCTTAGAATATCCTGCCTGATAGAAATATCTTTGTTGTATACCTCGGAACCACAGGCCATGGCAGATAGTCTAGGCTAATGGTATGACTTATGGGGGGGCCGTGGGCCACGTAGCATTGGTTTGATCTCTGGAGCAGCTGGAGACTGAGTAACTAGGTCAACCACCCAGGTGCTCCATGCCGATGTGACCAATTCCCAATAAAAATCCTGGATGCTAAGGCTCAGGTGACATTCCTCAGTTGGCAATACTTCCTGTGTTGTCACACATCACTGCTGGTCAAATTAAGCTCAGTTCCTGTGACTCCGCTGGGGGATGACAATGGGAAGTTCCGTGCTCGGTCTCTCCTGGACTCTGTCCCATGGACCTCTTCCTTGGCTGAGTTTTTTTGGGGGGAGAGAGCTGGCTGGTGTGCGGACCCAAACCCCTGACCTTGGTGTCACCAACATCGTGCTCTAACCGACGGAGCTCATTAGCCAGCCCCCTTGACTGGTTTTATTCTGTGTCCTTTCAGTGTAATGAATGGTAACCAAGAGTGTAACAGCTTTCAGGGAGTTCTGTGGGTCTTTCTAGAGAATTAATTCAACCTGAAAGTGATCTTGGGAAGCCCCAAACTTGGTGCAGATGTCAGTAGTGAGGGTGTCTTTGAGGACCCTAGGCTTTGTAGTAGACACTAATTATCTGGGGGAGGTCTGCCTGGCATCATGTGGTACAGAAGAGAGATGGGGAGGAGGGAAAACGGGGTGAGGGGTCCAGAGAGAAGCAAGGAGACAGGAGAGGAAGGGTCCTGCTGGAGCTGGCAGCAGGAACATGCACAAGCCTTGGTGGTCCTTGGCTGTGCGAGACGACATGGACAGGAGCGGGGAGGGGCTTCCCAGTCGCTGGACTGGGGGGATGTGTTGGTGGGAGCCCAGAAGCAAAAGCCTATTTGGGGCATGAAGATTCTCTAAGTCATCCGGAGGGATGTGGCCACGGCCACCCTGGGAGGTGACCTCTTCCATCCCAGCCCTGGAGTGGAGAGGAGGGGCTCCCTCCTGCCTGTGCTGTTTCCTTGGAAGATGCTGATGCCCACGTTCTGTGGAGCATCTGGGACAGAAAGACATGGTTGCCTCAACATCCGTGGAGGGATGGTTGGACATCGGGCCTTTCCCCCCAGAAGCCAAGGAAACAGGGAGGGCCTTTCCTGTTTGGCTACACAGGACCCCAATGTTAAGCCCTATCTCAGCCCTGCTCTGTTCCCTCTCTACACTCTCAGAGACCCAGGCATCCCGGCCCAGCGCCCACAGGAGATGTTGAGATGGACGGTCCTCGTCGTGGTCACATGGACCCCAGGCAAGGTCACCTGACAGATGAGGCTGCTGCTGTGGTCCTGGGGCCGTGGGGTGAGAATGATCTCCAAGGAGTGGGCAGTACTGGGAAGGAGGGCGGTGAGGGAAGCTAACATCCAGAAGAAGATGGGGGTCATCTCCCACTCACACGCCCAGGGCACAGAGCAGGTCAGAGTCCTGGGGTGGGGAGCAGACTCCAGGGTCCCCAGGATGAGGATGTCAGGCATGTGGGTCAGGGATGGTGAGGAGAGGGAGATGCAGGATCAGGATGGAGGGTCTGAGGTGCGGCCCTGAGAGACTCAGGCCCTGGTCCAGCTCCTCCCCAGGGCTTAACACATTTCACCACCAATCCCCTCCCACAACGGGGTCCCATCCCGGCCCTAGGTTGTGGCCCCCATGACCTTCCCCTGTGTCCTCTCCTGGAGCCCATGCCTTGCCCATCACATGCACATAGAGCTTGTTAGATACATAATTTCCTTTCAGGATATTTCTCTCTCCACCCTTAAGAAGTGTGTCCCTGTGTCCCTCTTCCTGACATCTCTGATGCTCAGAAAGCAGTTGTTGGTGTGGGGGTCCCCAAGGAGGTGGAATCAGCCCTGAGTTTCCTCCAGCACTTTTTGGTCTGGGTTGTTCGTGGCTACCAGAGTGTCCCAGTTTGTATTGGCCCCTTCCCAGAACCAGTAGCTATGAACAGGGTCAGAGCCAGTCCAGCCACCCTGTGGGCAGGAGGAGGAGCAGGGCACAGAGACAAACAGGCCGTCCTGCACTGTCACTGGTCCCTGCACTAGCAGCGCGTAATCCTTCCTGTCCTCTCTCTGGATCTCTACGCGCTCCGTCCCCAAGAGCAGCAGCTGCAGCATGTCTGGGGTTGGAGGTCCGAGGTGGGAAGGTCTGTTTCTCAGTGTTCTCTCAGGAACTAGGAGCTGCAACACTTAGAGGTGGCCCCACAGGAAGACGGGGTGAGGTCAGAACAGTGACCCTCCTCAGGGGAGGAACTTCAGACCCAGGCACTGTCAGGGCCAGGTCAGCCCTTGTAACCAACTACCCACCACCCCCACGGCCACTCCTGGGGACCCTGAGCCCAGAAAAGGTGAGAGACTCACCCACATTCATACCCCACGCAGGGACCCAACCCATTTTCTGCCTCCCTGTCACCACCCTTCTTTTTGAGTGACATTTTCTGCATTAAGAAAAATGGGTGCCTTCTAACCATACCCTTGAGTCACAAGCTGTTGATACTTGTGAAGGTCAGGGGTGAGACTCAGGGACCTAAAAGATGGGAAGCCCAGGGTGGGTGAGCAGGCAGCCTCTCCTCCCTCCCTCAGCAACCACGTCGTGGGCACCCGCTCTCTGCACAGTGAGGTCAGCACAGCATTCCCGGATGCTGTCCCCAAGGAGTCACTGTCCAGTGGGGAGAAAACAAGTCTTCCAGGATCCAGAGTCCCAGTGATAGGAGCTGTAATTCTGCAAATATTTGTGTTTTGCTTAAGTCTACATTAGTAGATGTGTACATATTGAGGAATTTTTAATGAAAATGTCTTTTTTTTTTTTTTTTGGATGGCTGGCCAGTACAGGGATAGAATGTGGACCTTCGTGTTTACAGCAACACAATCAAACCAACTGAGCTAACTGGCCCCAGGATTTTTATATTTTTCTAATGAATTAAGCCTATGATCTTTATAATGCTCCATTTCTTAACCTGTGGAATGCACTTTGCCTTAAAGACTCATTCATCTGGGCCGGCCCGTGGCTCACTCAGGAGAATGTGGTGCTGATAACACCAAGGCCCCGGGTTTGGATCCTGTATAGGGATGGCCGGTTTGCTCACTGGGTGAGCGTGGTGCTGACAACACCAAGTCAAGGGTTGAGATCCCCTTACCGGTCATCTTAAAAAAAAAAAAAAGGCTCATTCATCTGATATTAGGATTGCAGCACCAACTTTTAAAAAATTTTATATATATATTGGGGTGGGGGGGAAGCTAGAGGGTGCAGGGATCCGAACCCTTGATCTTGGTGTTATGTATAACACCACACTCTAGTATTTTTTAGTNCAGGGATCCGAACCCTTGATCTTGGTGTTATGTATAACACCACACTCTAGTATTTTTTAGTTGACACATAATAATTATACATAATTATAAGGTACAGTGTGATATTTTGATATATGTATACCACGAATAATGATCAAGTAAGGGTAATTAGCATATACATCAACATTTACATTTCTTAATGTTGGGAACATTGAAAACCCTCTCTTCTGTTTATTTGAAAGTATACAATTAGTTGTTGTTCATTATAGTCACCCTGCGGTGCTACAGGACTCTAGAACTTATTTTCCGACCTAGTTTGCATCCATGAACCAACCTCTCGCTATCTCCCCTTGCCCCACCCTTCCCAGCCACTAGCAGTCACTATTCTACTGTCCTCGCTTCCATGTACGAGTGAGAACATGCAGTGTTTGTCTTTCTTTGCCTGTCTTATGTTACTTACCATAATGTCCTCCGGGCTCATCCATGTTGCCACCAATGACAGGATTTCATTCTTTTTTATGGCTGGTTAGTATTCTGCTGTGTATATATAGCACACTTTATCTATTCATCTATTGTTGAATACTTAGGTTAATTTGGTATCTTGGTGTTATAATTTGGATACATTTGTCCCCTCCAA